GCAATGTAAGGTCATTCCTTGCTGTTCTTCAGCCATCTCTGACTCATCCTGTATCTTGGTAAGGAATGAAATTACCTGTTTTTATCTTCTCTTTGCAGCCTGAAGAATTGAGAGAAATCATTGAGAAGACTAGAGAGATGGAGCAGAACAATGGCCACTACTTCGACACAGCAATTGTGAATTCAGATCTTGATAAAGCCTATCAGGAGTTGCTTAGGTTAATTAATAAACTTGATACTGAACCTCAGTGGGTGCCATCCACTTGGCTGAGGTGAAGGAAACATCTGTTCTGTGGCTTGACTGGACCTGATCTGGGAAACTGCCAATAGGAAAATAGCCCCAGTATTTCAGTGAGACTCTCCTGAGTATAAGGTGGCAGGCAGAATAAGCTGTAGACCTGTTTTTAGATCTCTTAGTGAGGAGAAAGTCCCCTTATCAATTTGTGCACAGCATTCTTTATTCTCTACAAATGGCTTTAGGGTTTCTTGACTCATTTTGGGATTCTAAATGAAAGCTTTCAGTAGAGCAGTTTCATTTTATCTGTATAAAAACTTTTTTTTCAGCTACCTAAATCTTCTCTGCCTAGTCATATTTCCAGCAAAAACGTGTGTGTGTTCACATCAGCCCATGCCTCATGTAGTTGTAAATACTGGTGTTATTTAACATTTGAATGCTTCATGGGAACTTTTTAGAACTGTGTTTCTATGCACTGGGCAAAACAGTATTTGCTTAGGAGATTGGTTTGGTCATCAGAAATATTTTCCTAAAAAATAAAGAAAAAAGAAAATGATGCCACTTTGGTATGGAGCTACTCTGTTAGGCTAGAATCCATTTGTATGTCCTTTAATTCTAAAAAACTTTTCTGTTAAAAACACTAGTTTTAGCTCAAACTTTGTGGATCAGACTTCTGCACACTCAGCAGACTGTGATCTAGTGAAAGTTATACAACATATGCTCATCTTTTTAAAAATTTAATGATTTTTGAACTTTTTCTTATGTTGTCTCAACTAATTTGATAACCTCGCTTCCTTTCTCCAGTCTGCATAGTGCAACACAATGTTTAAGTTACATGTTATGAATGGCGAACATTGTAGCAACTGCTGTTAACGTTTTTTTCTCATGATGCGAACAGTTTTTTATATACATGGGAGGACACAGCACATTTGACAGTTTTTGCGTTTTTATATATGAGCACAGTATAATCCTGTGACTGTGCTATATGTAGGTAATAAACTGGAATTCTGATGAAGATAGCTGCTGTACTGTATGTCTATATCTAATAGATTGACAAATGATCATTGATGACATTTGTTCAGCATTGGAATAAAATTTATATGTATATCCTAGGAAAATACTATGAACAATTGACTTTGAGATCAGAAGGAAAAGAAGACCTGAAAGTTATTTGAAAATTTTAGGAAAAGAACATTGGGAAAAAATCTTGTACACACAGGTTTTTATCCTAAGAAGTTCTGCCTCTTAACGACCAGAAATGGCCACAGCTTGCTAAATTGCAAAAGAAATGTTTAACCTAATGGGATTTTTGTACTGTCTCTCTAGCTGTAGCTTTAAAACACTACTTCTATAATTGGCATGGAAAGTTAACCTGTAGTCTTTTCAAGCCTTTAGGGACAGTGTGATGTGTGACCAAAAACCTCAAATGTGAACGTCTTGATTTTTTTTCTTTTATTGAAGACTTTAGCTATGGCATTTCCTGTTCCCAAAGCTAAACACTGGAATAATACTGACTTGTCACTTAACATAAACAGTTGTTTTTAATGAGTAGTTTTGTCTCAGTGTTGTGTATATATTTGATTTTTCTCCTCTACATAATTTTATTTGAACAGATGTAGACAGTTTGTATGTTGCTTTTTCCTGTACAAATCTGCATGGCCTCTACATTCGCTGGGGAAGATGTTTCTTAGAAAGAAAAGTAACATTCCTGGATTGAAGGAAGGAATGCCATATATATTCTCTTCGAATCTGGAACACTCCACCTTATAACAGCAAAATGCAAAGGTTACACTGATTTTCAGTATTGAAAACCAAGGAATATACTTAGCACTTAATTTTTTCAGTTTTCCAGTTTACCTTCTCCTCAGGAATGAAGGGTAGATGATGGAGTTTTGCAGTCTGCTTATCTTACTGACAACTAATTTTAACCCTAAATCTAAAATGCTGAGTTTGCCTAAAAGTTAGACGGAGGTTTTAGCTAGTTTGAGTGAGTGGCTGTCACGCCAGTCCGAGTTAACCTGCAGACAGTAGGGCCGAACCAGGGCTTCACCAAGCAGATCCTGTACACAGGCACACACCATGGTATACATTCAGGAAGCCTTCAAGGTGATGACATATTTTGGCGTCACTGATGTCCTACGGTTCTCTTTCCTCATCATCAGCAGTGGTAGAGAGAGAACTGTTTATACCCAGAACTTTTTTCTCAATCCTAATGAGATGGATGTGCTGATATTCAACACAGTCCCTAAACAAAGTGAGAACTGAGTTGTTGCCGACTTCCTCAAAATATGGGAAGAAAAAAAACCTTGCTATATGCCTTGTAAGCCTGTGGAGCACAGTTCTACTCTGACCCACACGGTCACCCTGAGTTGGAAATCGACTGAATGGCAACAACTGGTTTGGTTTTTTTTTGAATATGCCTAGTTGTCCAGACGTTCTGGCCAAATTCTATTTATTTCCTGTCCCTCTGTGGTTCTGATTTAACCACTTATTATAGAAGTGATACCAATAGCTAATGAAATATACATGGAAAATCCAAATCAGGAAATACAATTCCTTTACTAAAATTTCATAAAAGTCAGAACAAACAGGAAGGAGAATAGTATTTAGACTAATCCAGATTTGCTTTCTATGAAAATCTAATATCTGGATTTTTTTTTCCTTTCCCCTTGGCCTAAAGAATAAGTGTTGATAAGGAATAAATTGAATGTAATTTTGCAAATGTGTATGGAAAATATAAACCAGGGATTTAGCCTTAATAAAGGTAACCTGAGACCTGTTGTTAATCTCCCTTTGTATTCTTACCCTGTATCTGCACTCTTATTTTGAGATGTCATACTGCACACTGTGTTGTAAAAATAAAATTATATTTCAAATAAAATAATCCACTGAGTAGCTTTGTCTTCTGTGTACATATCCTCTGCCATTCAAGGCCTCCAGACATCACCATCCTCTTCAAGTTTTTGCAACCCGTCCCGCTCCTCAAAAAAGGTCTTTCCAGAAGCAAGACCATTAGAACCTTTAAGTACAACACAAAATACCCATTAAATTGTTATTCAATAATTTTAGGCCACACTGTGGGAGTGCCTCCCGTTTACAAAGATGTAGATCTTGTTTCCACAATTTAAAGAAAAAAAACAAAAACTTAAGGATGGATGGCCCAAGGCCATGAACTTGGACGTTTTCTAGGGAAGAAGGTATATGATACTCACTCAGGCAAATTTAGCTTATATGCAGCAAAGGATTTGAGGACACTAAGATGTGGGTTGCTGCCATATACATGTTACTCCATTTCTCCATTCTTTCTCTCTCTCCTTTATTCTACACCAGTCTGTAGTTCCCAATGGAGGCAAATCATATACCAACAAAAACTTCCACACATACACACACCTACTATCCCAGTCCAGCTTTCTATTCCTATTCCTGATGTATTCCCTTCCCCCATGTTACCAGATCACCTCCACTATTTTCTCCTGATTCATTAATGTGCTAAACCTTAAAATCATCTTCTGTTTTGTAGGTATTTTAACAAGAGCAGATCAATACCAGAACTTTAAAAAGCCACAGGAGAAAACGAGGCTACTTTTTGGCTCAGTGCTTTAAAAGTAAATGTTGAGAAGAACATGATGATGTAATTAAAGTCATTGATCTGTACATGTGAAGATTTTTGAACTGTCAATATATATTAAAAAAAAAAAAAAAAAGCTGAGTTTACCTAAATGAAAAAGCACTCAGTAACCTGGCCCCTACTCCCACCTTCCAAGTGATGCAGGCCTCCTAGACAGGCAGTGCATAATGCTTAAGAACCAAGACTCTGAAATCAAGATAGACTTGGCTTAAGCTCCATCTGTGTTATCTGACCTGTCAAAGCCTGAGTTTCCTCATCTACAAAATGGAGATGATATTTCACCTTGCCCCAGGGTGTTGGGAGAATTAAACGTTAAATAGTTCAATATTACCTATTTTTAAAAGATTTACGAACTGAGTTGTTCCTACTTTTCTAATTACAGCTAAATTTACACTGAATCTGAGATTTTATTCTGTGAACAGCAACAGGACTTCCTAAAAATCAGCTCCCCCAGGACAGGCGCTATAGCTTACCTTTAAATATAGAGAAGGCAGAAAGGATAGAAGTTAAAACTCTGAAAGCAGACTGCCTGGATTTAAATCCTAGATTCAATATTTTCTAGCTTTTTGACCAATTAAGCTCCCTGTACCTCAAAATTTTCCTTTGTGAAATGGAATTAACATAGTATGTGTCTCTTAGGGTAGTTGTGCTAAATAAGATAATATATGTAACAAAATAGTACCTGGCACATAATAACTTTTATAAAATTAAATAATTTTATAGCAGGTATTAAATGTTTGCTAAATCATGTAGTACTTTAAAAAAAGTCTAGGCTGTGATAAGAAGCCCTGGTGGCGCAGTGGTTAAGTACTTGACTGCTAACCAAAAGGTTGGTGTTTTGAACCCACCATTTTTTCCATGGGAGAAAGATGTGGCAGTCTGCTTCTGTAAAGATTACAGCCTTGGAAACCCTATGGGGCAGTTCTACTCTGTCCTA